GAAAGGCGTAGAATGGGGTTCGATGTCAGCTTGCCACTGTTCAATAAACAGCACCCTCAAATCCCAAGAACTTATGGTTGTGAAGACTGTTTATTTCCAATTGAGAGAAAATACAGATTGGCTTTTAAAGGAAAAAGATATCTCTTTGGTATTGGCAGTGAAGTAAGAGATATGTTACACCTTCTGCATAATGACAAGGATATAATCCTGCTGACTACATGTAAACATGGCAAGAACTGGCAGGATTTTGCCGATACACATTGCTTTAGGGACAATAAGCTTTATGAAAGGTATAAGTTCTAGTTCTATTCAGCTTTTTATTTTAGACATTATTTTTATTTATTAATTGTTTCTTTAGTTATTCAGTGGTCCAACAGCACCTTGTGATGGGGCATCTTGTCACCCAGCAGTTACTGCCAAAACTGAGATTCTTGCCAGTATTTTGGATCCAATTGCTATCATAACTTGCCTATAGCATAATCTGCAGTGTATGAAAAATGAACGCATGAGGTCAGTGTAGATCTGCATGCCAAAATCTGACACAGTGCACTGAATTTGAAAATGATGTACGTAGGCTTGCACATGGAAAATGTGCCTGAAATCATTGTGCATGTATGACATCTCAATCAGAACTGCCATACTTTGCACACTGGCCTTTAGCATGGTATTTTATAAATAACATACCAAAGAGAAATTAGTCTGGTGGCATAACACATATAACAAGGCACCAGGGGTGCACATAACAAATCTAGACAGGGAATATGACTTGCTGTATGCCACATTTGCATCAGATATCACTTTTGCCCAAGGATAGGGGTGGGCAAACTTGAACAATTTGGAACTTTCCTGAAACTTTAATTAGAAATATTACAATTGTCTGAATTACAACACCAAACCTATAATGAAATAGAGAACAGGCCAATGCCTGCTTTCATGTTTGCTTATCATCATACAGTGTAACCACCAGGCAACCAAATTTTTACTGGAAATGACGGGTAGGATGTATCCATGCTGAATTACATGTAAAATAATTGAAAATCACGCTTTCATGGTACTGGAAATTAAATTTCATTATCATGCCCCAATAATATCTCTGAATTTTAATAAGGGGAGCTAAGCCACCCTGGCCTCCCTCCACGACACCACTTCTCTAGCGTTAACTGTATTTTTGACAAAAATAAATCTTGATCAACAGTTCCCAGAACACCACCTTCTTCATCTTCAGCAACAAACATCGTTGTCTTGGTAGAATACATCAAAGTTGCTTTCTATTTCCGTTACAAGGGGCTGCTGTGCAACATATTCCTTGCCCTTCAATCATGTTTTTTACCTGAAAGTGGGCTGTCTCACTGCTGCACCATTTGCTGCTGCTCATTCTCTATTTTCATTTTTATTTCACTTCAGATATATATTTTCAGCAATTAATTGCAAATTTATGTTGTTATGAAAATGGTTCATTAAAACAATCATCAAGATAGAGTTAGATTGTTGAAAATTGCATCAAAGTTCATTAAAAAGTGTTGACGAACATATGAAAATAACTCTAAAGAGCTTTGAAGACTGTGACATATTTGTATCTAATAAAACAAAACATTAAAGTTACAAGTTAACAGCATAATAAATGCAGTATAATATCAATATGCTAAGAAAGGTTTTGAGAAAGTTAAATAATAAGCAAATATATATTAATGTTTATTTTAAAACACAAGAACACAAGATAAAATAAAATGCAAAAGGTTAGGGGCAAATCTGTACTATATATATTGCCTATCCGTTGGGTAATATTCAATAGCTATCTAATACGAGCAATTTTTTTTTCTACTAAGAGACCTTCGAACATGACAATATATTGCATGTAGCTTTTTGTTGACAGAGCCTTTGGCATTGTAATCTCTTAATACTGGAGACATTTATCTGATCTTGTACTGGAAACCAAAACTTTCCGCTAAACACTCAAGTTCAAAATTTCCTTGCAGCAATCATTTTCACACAATTATGCCATGAGTAATGCAAATTTACAGGACATTCAGGATTGTTACACGAACACGAAAACAATTTGTTATACGAATTCATGTATTGTAAACATGCTGATCACGCAATTACATCAAAATACCTGGTACCCCCGAAATGTCCACCCTTGTCGCCAGACTTTGTTTTTGGAGACCACAGACCATAGGCTGGATACCAATTAAGGAGCTGCTGGTCTCCCACTGGCGACCACCTTTTTATTTGAATTGTCCTCTCTTGCCTGTAGGTAAAGTTGTTCCCACCTTTGCTCTAGACATGGTAACTCAGGGATGTTAGCTAGTTTATATGTTAACATATTAATGCAAATTTATTGATAAGAGTTTGCTGGACCCCATTCAAATTTCTACTGGAACTTCAATTTTCTGCACCAATAAAGCTTTGCAGACAGCTGACAGATATATTGCTTTCACGAAATATGCTTCTGGAAATGAAAAATCTATTAGACTGCTACAAAGAGTATCTTGAAAGGTAAACTACAGTTGAACGACTTAACACGTAACAACATAACAGAACAACATAACAACATAACAACATAACAGAACAACTTGTATGTCCAAAATATAATACTAGGCCATATTACATATTCAGTGTAAGAGTAGTAAAGCGTGTTCACAGCATGACTTAGCAAGGCTCAACATAAAGTGTCAATCAATAATGCTATGGATCAAATCATGATAATAGTGAATATCTAGTCAAAACCCACCATATCAATCAATCTTTTAATCTGATCCACTTTTATTCCACTATACCAATCAACCTATTACTTTTGGATATGATTTTGTTCCACTATTTCAATAAATATTTTTATTGGTTTCAGGTATGACTACCAAGAACTTTTATATAATGCCACTTTCTGTTTGGTGCCAAGAGGTAGAAGACTAGGCTCATTTCGCTTTCTGGAGTCTCTTCAAGCTGGTTGCATTCCCGTTGTCATGAGTGATGGCTGGGAGCTCCCCTTTTCATCTGTGATAGATTGGAGCAGAGCTGCTATTTGCATAAATGAAAAATCACTGCTGCAAGTTCCAAGCATCTTGAGGTCGTTCAGTTATGAAAAGATTCTCAGCATGAGACAGCAATGCCTGTTTTTGTATTTCGCCTACTTCTCCTCAATTCATCAAATTGTCAGTACAACAATCAAGGCATGTACAAATTATGTCTATTATACCAAATTATGATTTATTTTAATATACAGAAAATCCTGAGTTCCTTCTTATTTACTCAGATTGCCTTACAATAAAAGATGTGACATTGAATTTAAATTTAAAATTTGAATTTAACTTTAAAATTTGAATTTGACATGAATTTGAATTTGACAATTTGAATTTAAAATAGTGCCTTAATATTATAAAGATGCGAATTAGCTTAATGATCCTTCTGCAAATTTTTGAATGCCCTTGTGCCTTGCCTTTTATTACAATTTTGTCACAAACAAATCATTAGGTTTTAAGGCTTGTTTATGCACCCACACCAATATGCAAAAATTTGGAATTTTATGAACATTTTTCACTAGAGACACTTGTTCCTTGAAATTGATTGTCTGTAACAAGTGATATTCTTTGATGTAAAATTTCCCTGCAAATTTTATATTTCAAATTTTTTTATTACTGTATCTTAATGACTAACCAATTCCTTATCTCTGAAAGCATGTTTCTCTTTTTTGTTTTAGATTGTTCATGATCATGTTGAACCTCACAATGCTCACACATATCATATGTGGAATCATCCACCTGGAGCATTGAGTGTCCACACCAGATTCTCAAACCAGCTTGTCCATTTTCCATTTTATTATGATTTATTTGGAATCAAGCCTCTCGAAAAGTTCACTGCCATCATTCTTGTAGCTGCGGTAGAAAGGACAAGGTCTGGGAAGCTTTTTAAACTTATAAAGAAAATAAACCTGTCAGAATATGTTCACCAGGTAATTTTGTATTTTGTAGATACA